TAGGTTTGTTTTTATAATTCTAAGAGAAGATCTTGATCCTTCCTAGATGTGAACGATGAGGGGTATTTATCTTTGCAGAGATAACAGTAAATAGCAACAGATAACAACTGATAACAACAGATAACAACAAATAACAACTGATAACAGCAAATAACAACAGACAACAACAAAATAACAACAGATATCAAAACAAACGTCCTAAGTTAGTTTTTTTCCCGATAAATTGTTACCTTCGATTTCGGTGCTTATCTTTGTCGAGATAACGACAAATAACAGCTGATAACAACAAATAACAATTGATAAAAAAAAATAACGACAAATATACAACACAAACGTCATAATTTAGTTACTTTTACTTGTTTTTTTAGGTAGTCAATTGTTATTTGTTATGTTATCTCGACAAAGATAAACACCGAACGATGAGGGTATTATTAATACGAAGTGACTATTTCTCCGAAGGCTCGGGAAAATAAACTTGATCTCTATTTCTCCGAACGGTTTCTGTTCTGGAGATTGTTTGGTTATTTGCGTGATTTAGGCGCCATCTTTCATTCTGCCATTCTGCGAGGACTGGGAAGAAGCATTTTTGGCATCAAATTCAACTTCTAGAGCTAGATCTAGAGATTTTTATATGTCTGAATATTCAGATACTTCAGTTGTGGTTGGGGCAACGTTCCCGAACTACTTTACTCATTTGAAAAATGCCTTTTAAAGGTACTGCGAGAAAATAGGACTGCTCGACCTTGGCTGTAACCTATTTTGCATTTAGATTTAGTCATCTCTATTGCAAACACTAAAATCCTTCGTGTGAACAAACAAAAATCCCCGCCCCTACGCCTTACTCTTTCTCTCTCTCTCTCTCTCTCTCTCTCTCTCTCTCTCTCTCTCTCTCTCTCTCTCTCTCTCCCCCCCTCTCTCTCTCTCTCTGTCTCTCTCTCTCTCTCTCTCTCTCTCTCTCTCTCTCTCTCTCTCTCTCTCACACACACACACACACACACACCCCTCTCGAGAACGAAAACCGTTCGGAGAAATAGAGTTCAGGTTTATTTTCCCTGAGCGTTCGTAGAAATAGAACAATGATTCTTGTTATTAATATTATGTTGTTGGGCGAGTATGCAGGAAAAGACATGGGTTCTAGATGAGTACTGCTGAGAAGGAAAATAACTTGTGATTTCAAAATGAAAGGAGAGTGTGGATTTGCCATCTTGTCTGTTTGGTTTGCGTGAGTACTGATATGTTAGAGCTTGAAGGAAGGGTGTGGGTCAGGAGAGCCAGGGAAAGACATAGAGTAATGAGGATGATCTGCTTTTTAAAAATGGACGGGCCAGGATATAGCAGAATGTGCAACGGAAGCTTGCGACTGTGAAGGATGGAAGGTCATTACACGTCAATCTCTGAGTCAGAGATGATAGCTTCAGGTACATTGTACAGGTTAGTGCTATACGCCCGGGTCGAAATACCTGTGTAGTCAGGTACATTGTACAGGCTAGTGCTACAGGCCCAGGTCAACACAGTCAGAGATGACAGCTTCCAGGTACATTGTACAGCTTAGTGCTATAAGCCCAGGTCAACACAGTCAGAGATGACAGTTTCCAGGTACATTGTACAGGCTAGTGCTTTAGGTCCGGATCAATACAGTCAGAACGTACACGACGAGGCGGGATATCAGAATGTAACATCTCGGAATCCGATAGGACCCAGCCGTTATGAAGGTCCGGGGAGTTTCAAACTTCAGTCCTCTGTTGAAGCTGAGAAAACAACGGGAAGCTTGAAGTGTGAAAATTTTAAAGACCACAAAGCCCTGGAATCTCAGTGGAAACCCACATTTCAAACTACCGAGTTATAATAGCAGGTACATAGCAGAATTGGCGGAATACGGAAACATTTTCGTTATATGAAAACTTCGCTATGTATGATTTTCAGTTCAGGCTACTTCAAGGAAGATATAAGAACGTTGGACTATTGAGTCAAAATTTTGCATGAATCATGACCTCAAAGCCAAGCCTATGCATTTTGGGTTCCTGCTTAGTCCTAGACTTCCTTCCTTCCTTCCATCCTCTGGCCTGCCTCCGTTAGGAGGGCGGCAGTCTGCTGCAGGCACACAGGAAAGAGGCAACCTCGTGTGGCCTCGTCCAGAGTACACACGGACCCGGTCTCGCGTTGTTCTCCATCAGTGGGCCTCGATGCACTCCCCCCCCCGGGCACTCATACAGTGTGTGCTGCAGGTCGTAAGGACTTGAGCCACACGCCAGGCAGGAATAATTGGGAGCGGAGCCTATTGCATGGAGGTACGCCTGCAGGATGGGGATCTTCGCTTTGCATCTTAGCTGCGAAAACACTCTTCTCTGTCTGACGGTTAGGTCTCTCTCTTTGTCCCTTTCCGGTGGTGGTTCACCTTTCCCCCGACGGGGTCGTGCACTCGTGCTTTCTCCCACGCGTGGGCAATGATGTAACGCGAGATGCACTAGCTTGTTGACGCAAGATCGACTGGAGTGTTAGACTGGTCGAGGCGGCCTCCCTTGTTGGCCAGGGCGTCCGGTCGTTCCTGTGGATGTCGCGATGTCCTGGTATCCATTGTATGTGCTGGTCCTAGACTCCAATGTTTTATCCACCTCTGCAAGGATAGGCCGTTTCTCCTTTGCCAAAAAGTCATTCTGATTCTTTTGCTCCGCCATGGGCCACTCTCTGCTACAACATCGTCTTGACCTAACCTTGCAGAACAATGGCAAGTTGTTGTCCAAAAGTTGATGCTGGGCGCTATCGCACAATGGCTGAAGAGTGAGAGAGTTGGGGAAAGGGTGGGTGGTGGTGACGCCAGTGTAATGTGTCCTGGCTTTGATGGGACACTTGTCTCAAACAAAAGTTACTGCATAAATAATCTCTCTTAGTCTTAGTATTTTTAGAGTGTTGTTAAAAGCAGCATGCACCAATGACTTTTTAAATACCGTAGGCATAGAGTCCTAATATACCTTGCTCACTTTCGTCTGACAGCGGTTAAAACAAAATAAAATAAAATCGCTCTGTTTAATCTTCTTGGATCTTTGCATAAGCGTTTAAAAAGTTTGATGACCAACATAATCTAAAGGCTCATTCACAAAGGCCACTGCAAACTAAGGATCCCACACGATTTCATTTCTCTGACGTTAGCCTAAAGCGAGTCAAAAACATTAAATAGTGAGGGATTTACAGCTTACACCTAAAAAAATCATTAAAATATTGATGTATTTCATAAAAACCACACTTTAACGTACGCTGAAGGAACCCAGTGAACCATAGACGGGTGAGTTCATGTCGATCTACACTTGGACACTCACACGAACACGTCGAAACAGCCGGGGGATTCAATCAACAAACTTACACCCAAGGTATTCATCCTTCTTGGCTTACACTGACATGTAGGGGAAGGGTGGCGTCGCTGTCTCGAAATGAGTAATTTGTTGGAAAGGTTACTGCGCGTAAATCAACTTTATTTTAGTGATCCCGTTTTTGCACCCACAGAGCCCAAATACAGAAACCTTTTTTATTACTGGATTAAGATTTTCTATTAAAAAAAAAAAGAATAAAGATTTTGTTTGGTCACTGGCCTGCAGAAGTACCATGCAAAGTTTTGTGGACATAACAGGCATTAGGTAAATTAATTTAATGGGCTAGAATTTTTTTGACACAGACAGACGAAGATGAACAAGCTATGGAGGGCAAGGGCGATTGTGTTCACATGTATTTGTTGATCACAACAAAACTAACGTTCTGTTCTCTCTACTATTTATTAAAGATGAGGAGGTGGAGGCGGTAAGCTCTTACAAGTATCTTGGCGTAACAATTGATAACAAGCTTGACTGACATCCCCACGCTCCTCTTGTGCATAGAAAAGTAAATCTATTTTTAAAATGTTCCTTTTAAGAAAATTAAGAAGTTTCCGTGTTGACAATAAGATTATGTCCCTGTTATACCATTCTATGATTGAAAGCGTGCTATTATTTTGTATTTGCTGCTGGACTGGGAATTGTAGGTGGAAGATGAAGACAAATTTGACAGAACAAATAAAAAAGCCAACAAGATTTCTGGATATGATTTTACTAGAATTGATTAAATGTATAACACCATAATTATAAAAAAGATAAAAAGCATTATAAACGACTCATCACGCCCCCTTTCCACGCAAATTGTCAGATCACGCAGGGGCAGATATGTAGCCTACCTAAAAAAACAAAGAAAGAAAGATATAAAAGAAGTTTTTTACCATATACCATAAGGCTTGTCAGAATAAGCATAACGTGTATTGCTGTTTAGAGTATGTATCTCTGAGTATAGAACTCCAGAGGTCTTGTAATCAAATTCCTGCATGTGGTTGAATGATGCATCTGATGTGATATGTACATTTTGTCAGCTTTACTTCTCTTTTCATGTTGAATTTTAATGAGAGTAATGTTATATATAATTTAGATTTTAAAAAAATGTATACCTGCATGTGTTGTAACGGTCCTGACATGTTCTGAAATACTCCAAGTCTCCCCTGCACTACATGTATTACATGTAGGGTCTACTCGTTCACCACGGTACAGCGTTGGAGACCATGAGAATGATTGGTAGTAGGAGTGGGGGTTGTGGGTGTCCATGAGCGTGTATGTGCGGGCGCCCGTGTGTGTGTGTGTGTGTGTGTGTG